GCATCTACTGTAAGTGGGGCCACTTAGAGAACACTAACCAATCGCATTGCAGAACAGAAAGAAAAATCTAATCAAACTAAAGCTCGTCCAATCAAAAGAAAGATTCAGGAAGCCATTAACTGCAGTGTTTACTTTTACAAGTCTATTTTTACCGTTTGACATTCGTTTATTTGTTCAAATTGTTTTTGGCCTAATTCTGATTGGCTAATGCGCCGTTTGTTGATTTTTTCAATTTCTGTTCTTCAATGTGATTGATTAGTGTTCTGTAAGTGGCCCCACTTATTGTAGACGCACTGCAACCATAAAATAGGCGACCAAAGTGATATTTGATTAATTGACTGCGTGAAGTTGAACTGAACACATCAACATGCCGAGAGGCACACTTGTTGTAGACGAAAAACTACTGAGAGACCATTTCTTGAGACAGCAGCGTGGCGGAAACATCGCTGGGTATCGTGGTGCACGTTTTCGAAGAGGATACGGGATCGGAGGTATTTTCAAGAGCCTTGCGAGATATGCTATTCGTCTATTCAAACAAGGTGCTAAAGTTGTTGGCAAAAGAGCATTACAATCAGCAACAGAAGTTGGTCAAGATATACTCCAAGGAAAAAATGTTAGAGAATCTGTAAAGACTCACGGAGGTGACGTTGTTAAAGACTTTGCCGAACAAGGAGCAAAAACTCTACTACAACAAGCAGAGCGCGGAAGCAAGAGAAGGCAAGGCCAACGCAGTAATTTATCAACTACAAAGAGGTTAAAACTGTGTTCTCATATAACAGTCCCAAGACATACCAAAAAGATTACGGAAGATGAAAGCAGCCACGATGATGAAAGCAGCTATGATGAAGAATCTGATAGCGAAACCCCTGAAACAAGTGATGATATATATTAGAAGCATAAATTTGTAAAACGTTTTGAAGAAATAAATGTATTTAAAAACTGAAATATTGTGTAAATTTTTGCCGTCAAAGCCCGCTCTTTCCGCTTGCGCGACACGCTCGCCTGATTAGTGTCAAATATGTTGTACTTTAATATATGCATGCACCCGCAAAGCCACGCGCCTTATTTTAGGGTATACACCTGCGTTAAAAATAATCCCTATCTATCCATCGGGATACACTTAGTTATGCAACTTCGTATTGCCTTAATCCCCTTAATTACCTATACACCTCCTAATGACTTAGCAACGCATAACAACGCAAATTTGCAAAGTTTTAAAGCATGTTTTATTGATACAAATAACAGATGATAGCATCAAAAAATAGTACAACTGTTCTAATTCTAACTTCTACTCTTGATAAGCTTTCTTATGATCATCTTAACAGTATATATGTATGTAGGAGGATTGCTAAATAATCTTGAACAACATGCAAATATTGACCATAGCAACGACGTTGACAACTCGGGATTAGCAACTGTTTACTTTAAAATATCTCTTGATTTTTGTGACGAATAGATTCCTCGCTATGGAACATACAAAAATCCTTCAATATACATGTGGAAATTTATCTCTTCCGAACTAAGATACGGCTATAACTCTGCTATATATTAATTTCGATAACAATTTTGCCATGGGCAGGGACACAAACGAACCAATCATAGTAAGCCATCATTAATCCCTCTATTGTATCATACACGTGGGGACGCTAAAAAATGCGTAGTCAGCAAGTTTCGCCCGATCGTGTTTAAGCTCGCCCGCGTGACGTCATTGCATATAATTATGACGTATGTTAATGAGTGACGTCATTACTCCCCCTCATTTGTACGTGTATTAATTATAAATTAGGTGGTGGACACCCACCACCTCAAACTCTAGACTTGCCACAAGTCGGCCTCGAACGAAACGCGAGCAGCGATCGCGAGCGACCAAGTCGCTCGCGAGAGGTCGACTTGTCATACTTGCAGCGCGCCAAATTTTACTGACTCAAAAATGGGTCAGTAACGCTGATCTATATATATTGTGTATATTCATTTGTTGATGATCTCTTCAACCAATCAGAGAAGCGTGAAAGGGACATGTTCACGTATTTATAAACAGACTTCCGGAAACAAGGAATTTGCGCAGTATTTCGTGTTCTGCCTTTCAACACTGTGTCTGTGGTTTCTGTGTTTGCAATGGAGAATTCGGTTTCAAAGGGGATTGAAAAGGCACAGCAGTTTTCTGGCTATTTAGAGTTGAAAGAGTATCAACGGCAGACCATTGAAGCCTATCTATCTGGCAGAAATGTGTTCGTTTCGGTACAGACAGGATATGGGAAAAGCTTAACCTTTGAGTTAGCTCCGCATACTGTCGAGTACTTGTCGTAAAATAACAAGTCGTTGGTTCTCGTCGTCGTTCCGTTGGTCTCGCTTATGAAAGATCAAGTTAGCAATTTGGTCAGACCAAGTTAGCAGTTTGGTCAATTTAGTTCCAATATTGGGGATGACTGCTTCGCAAAGCCAAAGCGAAGTGACAAATATGAAATATGACGCACATGCGATTAGATGATGCGATTAGACAACTCAGCCCCCTGTTAATTGATAGCCAATAACTTATTTACATTTTTTTAGCGCGAAATGCAATTGAAAACCCTGCAAGTATGACAAGTCGACCTCGCGCGTGCGACTTCGTCGCTCGCGCTCGCTGCTTGCGTTTTGTTCAAGGTCGACTTGTGGCAAGTCTACTCAAACTCCATCACTTCAAACTCAAAAAGGGTCGAACGGTATCTATATTACTACTGCAGTCGTCAGAGCAACACATCACAATTGTCGTAAAAGGTAAAATAGTATAGGGTAGCCAAGTGTGTAAATTGGTGAGCGTAATAGTCTTGATGTAAAGCGCATTTGATCTTTTACATATAAGTTTGTGCTATAGAAATCTTAATCTTAAAGGGATATGGCAATATATATTAATTTTTTATTATTTCCTTTTATAAAGAACTTTTAAAAATATATGTTAACCTTTACCGATTTTGCGTAACTTTATTATTTCAGTTGAAATATTTTGACTTAAAATAATTTGCTGTCCGCCATCTTGGATTTATTTGTATCTCATTATCGGTGATTTTAGTTACTTCAAAAGCAGCGTTAGCCATATAAAACTACATCTAATTGACCAAATAATAATAATAATAATAATAATTAGGGATTAATAGTACGAGTGATGTTTGGAAATTTTGCCAAAATTGGACGGGCCGCCGGGGCGAGTCCAATTTGGCAAATTTCCAAACATCACGAGTACCATTAATCCCTAATTGTACGAGCAACATCGCATGATTACTTGTTTATATTATTAACATGACAAAATTGGATACGTACTTCTCAATGTCAGCATCATATTCTCTCGCCAAAGCCCAGTCCCGCCAGACTTTCAACCAAAATTTGGTGCTTTTGTTTGTATTTTCATTTAGTTCTGTTGTTAAAGCAAAATTTGGTGATTTTGTTCGTATTTTCATCAAATTCCTCCACGGCAATTTCATTTTACGCTTGAGTTTAATTTAAAATACGTTTCCGCCATTTTGTTTGTTTTGGGAAAATCATTAATTGTACTGCAGTACAATTAATGAAATAATTGTGCACCTCTTAACCAATCAGCATCCAGTAATTTTGTCATGCTAATAATAAAATCAATAAGATCCACGAGGTGGCTCTTCCCCTATTGAAACTACATACAAAAACATTTTTTTAACTAAATGTAAATATATATATATATATATATATATATATATATATATATATATATATATATATATATATATATATATATATATATATATATATATATATATATATATATATATATATATATATATATATATATATATATATATATATATATATATACAAACTTAGATAATATAGAAAATGAAGATTTAGATAAAAATGTTAGTGCATATTTACATTATACGAGACTTTAGTACAGCCCTAACGTTTGTACAGAATTGACTGTAGTCGTATATAGATCTAATATCAGATGGTAGGCTCGACACAACGGGGAGCCTTTTGTTTATTGTTGTTTTGAGGGCCAGAATTCTCCTCCACATCACCGCTTCTTAATAATAGATGGAAGGTGGCTATCGAGTTGTTATAATAGGTGACTCTCGAACGGGACCATTTTCTATTGCAACGAGTTCCCACCATAGATATCATAAGCCCCGTTTACACGACAGTCATTTTAGGCACGGCACGCTTAAATTTTGGCACGCGGACCCATTTTTTTGGGCACGGCACTCTTAATTTTTGTCGTGTAAACGCAAAATTAAGGGTCCGCGGGCCCAAAATTTTAAGCGGGCCGAGACCTCCTCAGGAGGTAGTCTCGGCCCGCTTAAAAATGGGTCCGCGGCCCCATTTATGCATATTTTTATTTTTTCACGCATGCGTTTTGTTTCTCGCACTGCAAAATGGCGTGTAAAGAAGGGAAAAATCGAGGAAAATTGTGGTCAGAAGAAGCAACAAGAACTCTCATAAATTTATGGTCGGAAGAAACAATACAGCTTTCTTTAGAGAATTGCAAAACGTCGAAGGAAACCAGACAAGTGTATAACACGATTTTGGTAAGTTGAGGCAACATTTAATATTTTTTTCAGTTTTACGACGACGACTAATATTATTTTTCAATTTTGCGATGATTATTTTGTAATAATATACAGTTTTTTCTTGACAATTGTTATCTGTTTTGGTGTACATTTTTGCTAAAAATTGACCAGATTTTACTTCACTTTAAACTTTACAAAACAAGTCATACAAAAACTCATTGTTTTAATAGACATGAGCACGTATTAAAAATCGACTCGAACGTCCAGTCCACAAAATCACGAGGTTCATTATTTATTGAATTGTCTGTGCCAGTGTAGGTAGTGCATTAAATAAAAGGCCTTCGAAAGCCAAAAGGCCTTCGCGCGAAATGTCGAAATTCTTATGTTTTTCAGGTATAGTTGCATCCTAACCAACGAGAGCTTGTTTATTGTATTTATTGCAGGTAAAACTACATTCGAAGGGATACATAGATTTCAATCTTAAAGAAGTAATTGGAAAAATTAAAAAGTTGCGTCAAAAATACAAATCCGTTAAAGACCAAAAAAATAAAAGCGGTAACAGTGCCAACCCAAAAAAAGAATGGAAATTTTTCCAGGAGATTGACAAGTTCATGTACACGAAGCATAATATTAATCCTCCATCACTCATTGACACCTCGGCAGACTCAGTTGAGACTGAACATGAAAATGTTGATGACAATTTCAGTCAGTATATTATTCTTTGAAATGTAAAATTTCCAATTGTATGTTTATCAGCAATATTATATTTGATAAAAAATTTATATTTTAGTTGATGTACTTGTTGAAAAATATGGACAAGGGGAGGTTTCTGTGAGAAAGTGTGAAACATGCGAATTTGAGCAAACAGTGCGTACTGCTGGGGCTCATGTTAATGGTGACGAAGGTTCAGTGATGGTTTTCACAGATGATGATGAGTTTATTTGTCCTAATTGCATGATGAATACTCCAGCTGAGAAAGATACATGTAATCTGTCAATACTAATTATTCAACTGTATAACCCAAAGGGTCGTTTAATCGCGTATTTCCCTCATTTCCTATGCATACGCTTTTGTCTTCTAAATTTCCACGGAAAATTTAGTTGAAAACCAAAGATTTCTTTGTTTTCTAATTTTCCCCTGCATACTTGATAGAATTTAGAAGACAAAAGGGTACCTCATTACCTCTCATTGGAAAGCTGTACCTCTTCAAAAATCATCGGCACAACTATGGACAGTATCTGACGACACCGTCCCGCACACATTCGAACAATCACTTTGCTAGTTTTTATTCCGCAATCTTGAACATTTCAATTGTGGGAGAAAATTCGGTTTATGCGCATGCCTAAAAAGAATGAACACGCAGATGTGTTTCTGCGCGTGCGTATTATATGAAAAATGTTCATTCCACAATCATAAGACAATCCCGAGGGGACTTTTACTAAACCTCCCTTGGTTTGCGGGTTCATTTTACTGTTATTATTAGAATTTGAATGGCCTAGCACTTTGTTGAACGCAACGATGCGTAACTACATTGAATTTCGGTCGCGTGAAGACAATAGATAATTAAGCTTAATGAGGTTTATCATCTCATTATTTTCATTGACTATTGTCTTAATCGCCACCGAAATTCGGCGTATAAAACGTACCAAAAATATTGCCAGCGTGTATATATAACTATTGACCTATTATTATTATTATTATTACAAAATTAGAATATATTTATAAAGCACACGATTTTTGAGCGGCCTCACTTATATAAGTGAGATTTACAATTGTCTACAATCTAAACAGATTATACTATTGTTTGTATACCTTTATATACCCTGTATACTGGTGCATAAATTATCACACGTCCTAATTACGATTCAGTGGTTGTTTACCATTTAGATGAAAACCCATCCGGTTTGAAATTGTGCTAATGGTAAGCAAAATTAAGGATAGAAAATCCCATTCGGATGATGTGCTTTCCATTTAATAATTTCAATTGTTAAATCGAGAAGAGCCTGGAACCGGTTGAAACGTTCCAATCGGTAAGAGAGGACAACCTTTTCAAACAAACCGTTTATTCCGGAAAAGTTCCGGTTGGGCCGCCGAAATATGCTTGTTCCATTTACTTTCCGTATGGAATCACCGGAATTTCCATGTAAATGGTAAACAACCAGTAAGTTTTTTTAATTGACCGGGAAAAGCAAGACAAAATTTTGTTCATTTCTCGTTCAATTTTTAACCAAATTCAACCAAATTCAACCAATCTCTTCCTTAGCCAATGGAAAATGCATTCAAAAAATTTCGTATTAATATGTTTGGTATTTCTTGAGTTATCGTGCTCACAGACAAACACACATACACACACATACAAACCCAGATGATTACATAACCTCCTGGCGGAGGTAATAAATAAACTGGAAAAACTTTTCCGCCAATGATTGCCTGAAATCGGTTAAATATGAAGAAACAGGTGTTAACCTCGCAAGAAATCTCCGCAAAACTTCTGTAAAAAGGTGGTTTTCGTGTACGGTAGTGGACGTCAAACTCACGAAAGGTTTTAGAATACCAGAAAGTGAGGGAGCATTTACAGTAAAGCTCCTGGATTTCAGTGAAGTTCACGTGGAAAGAACACTCTGTGTACGTAGGATATAAAAAATATTTGGCTACAAGGTAAGCATCAAAGATCGATCAGCAACCAGATGGGGAATTCTATCCCTAGTGAGGTCCATTTACTAGTGAGCTAATTTTATCCATAGTGAGCTCCATTTACGATGCCCTGGTTTCCCCATTTGTCCTTATAGCAAAACCATATTGCAGGATCTTTGCGGAAGTAACTTAGGATGGAACGAACGAATCCCTGAAGGTACCCTTCATTGACGGCAGAATTGGTTGAGTATGCTACCCTAACTGGAAGAAATCGTTGTCGACCGCTGTCTCAAGCTAGCCAATTAATTTGATGAGATTGTTTCTTGCGAGCTGCATTCTCTGACGCTTCTCAGAAAGGCTATGGAGATGCTACATATCCACGAATAGTCAACCAAACAAGAGATATTCATTGTTGTTTCATGATTGCAAAGTCTCGATTAGCACCGCTGAAAGCCATAACGATCGATTGGAACTGTCCGCTGCCATAATTGTGACCAGACTTGATCCCCGAGCCGACGGCGCGAAGCGCCGTGCGAGGGTACTAATTCCCCCCGGCTATTTACACCCGGGGAAACGAAAGCATTAGCCAAGTCTAAAGTTCATCAAATATCGCGGGCGTGGCTCACCAACGAAGTTTCGGTGGGTGGTCATC